GGGAAAGATTGAAGGCAGGAGGAGAAGGGGACAACAAAGGATGAGGTGGCTGGATGGCATCACTGACTCAATGGACATGAGTTTATGTAATCTCTGGAATTTGGTGATGGACAGGGAGGCCTGGCGTGCTGCATTCCATGTGGTCGCAAAGAGTCAGATATGACTGAGCAACTGAATTGGACTGAACTGAAAAGAATACTAGACTAAAAGTCATCTTGACTAAAAACTTCTAGTGAAGACATCACCTAAAGAAACTCTCTCATGTTATCTGGCTGCTCAGTGTCCACAGGCATGCTTACTCTGTTCTGTGCATGTCATCCTGTCTACCTTGTCAGTAGAGTGGAGCATGTTACTTAGTATTCATGTATTAACATTTTCCAAATTATAACAACAGCCCCAGGAGGCTATTTACCCAAATTTCCTCTTCCCCATACATATATATGCATCAGTTCAATTCAGTTCAGTCGCTCAGTCATGTCTGACTCTTTGTGACTCCATGGACTACAGCACACCAGGCCTCCCTGTCCTTCACCAACTCCCGGAGTTTTCACAAAGTTATGTGCATGAGTCAGTGATGCCATCCAACCATCTCATCCTCTGTCATCCCCTTTCCCTCCCACCTTCAATCTTTCCCAGCATCAGGGTCTTTTCAAATGAGTAAATTACTCGCATCAGGTGGCCAAACTACTGGAGTTTCAGTATCAGTTCTTCCAATGAATATCCAGGACTGATTTCCTTTAGGATGGACTGGTTTGATCTCCTTGCAGTCCAAGGGACACTCAATAATCTTCTCCAATACCACAGTTCAAAAGCATCAATTATTTGGCACTCCACCTTTCTTTATTGTCAAACATGACAATTGGAAAAACCACAGCTTTGACTAGATGGACCTATGTTGGTTAAGTAATGTCTCTGCTTTTTAATATGCTGTCTAGGTAGGTCATAACTTTCCTTCCAAGAAGCAAGTGTCTTTTAATTCCATGGCTGCAGTCACCATCTGCAGTGATTTTGGAGCCCAAAAAATGAAGTCTGTCACTATTTCCAATGTTTTTCCATCTATTTGCCATGAAGTGATGAGACCAGATGCCATGATATTAGTTTTCTGAATGTTGAGTTTTAAGCCAACTTTTTCACTCTCCTGTTTCACTTTCATCTAGAGGCTCTTTAGTTCTTCTTTGCCTTATGCCATAAGGGTGGTGCCATCTGCATATCGAAGGTTATTGATATTTCTACTGGAAATCTTGATTCCAGCTTGTGCTTCATCCAGTCTAGCAATTCTCATGATGTACTCTGCATGTGCATATTCCCTGTAAATGTCAATTCTAAAAATAACACAAGCTTTTCTGCAGTGAAGCAGACTTATTTTGCCTCAGCTTCAAGATTTTCTCTCTTTTCTACAAGGTGTGAAATTATGCATTAATGAAGTAAATTATCGTCATGAGCCCTTTGAACAGATGCTACATTTCTTATTGCCATCAGCTTAAGTAGATTAATTTATAGACTCAGCTATATCTTTTTCCAAAAAATCTCATAGTAAGAAATCAAGCAGCAGATGAAAGACTTTTACAATAATTCTTATCTCTCCCTCCCCGCACCATTTGTTCTTCAATGTGTGTTTGAATTCACTTATAGTTTGGAAGATGCCAATTTTACAGAAATTTTTAAAAGAAAAATAAGCAGAAAGGGATATAAATTTTTCACTTTTTCAAAAAAGATTCATACATTTCCTAGAAAGCAAACATTATCTCTACTTTAACGTAGATAATTATTTTGACGCCACTCTACAAAAACATAAAGTAACTGTGCATCACATTATTACTTTCATTTGTTATAATGGCAAAGAAATGTCTGTGAAAAATAGACCATTTCATAAATTATATCTCATTTTCAAACCCATGAGGCAAGCAATGTGATTATTTTTTAAATTAGCCAAATTTAGTGCCTTCATCTTGACTTGCAATCCGTTTAAGCAAAGACAGGATTGTAATGGAGCACATCCTCACAAATCACTGCTACAAATCAGCCCCAGTCGGGAAGAATATTTAAATTATAACTCACATTAAAAACACATGCTGCCATTATTCTGCCCTGAATCTCAAGTCTCAAAGTTCTTCTCACATGTTGAGGTTTCCCCACCCCCACCATGAAAGTGAAAGTCACTCAGTCATGTCCAACTCTTTGCAACGCCATGGACTACACAGTCCATGGAATTCTCCAGGACAGAATACTGGAGTGGGTAGCCTTTCCCTTCTCTAGGTGATCTTTCCAACCAATGAATCGAGCTGGGGTTTCCTGCATTGCAGGCAGATTCTTTACCAACTGAGCTATCAGGGAAGCCCTATATTTCAATAGAAAAGATTTGTAAGTTGCTTTAAAAGAAAGGTCTCCTATGCTTAGTATACTTTCTCCCTTCCCCTCATTTTGAATACACAGCATTTTATCTATACTCTGAGGGTACAAATGAACTCATCCATGTGATGCTTCCACTGCTGCTGCTCAGAAACCTGGAGGAAGGGAGGAGCTCAAGTTGGCAAAAGTTGAGAAATAAAGACAGATGAGGTTGGAGGTAGCTTAAAGTTTTGTGGTTTTGGCTTTCTTCCCTGTGTTACCTAAAGCTTGGCCCCTCTGTACATAAATGCCAAATCAAATCTCAGTGACAGTATTGAGTGAAGTAGAAAAGTATAGCTTTATTACCTTGCCAGGTAAAGGGAGACACACAATAGTGCTGTTTCCAAAAGTTATGTGTCTCCACCCTAGAGAGTTTGATGAGCAGGACTTGCAGGCTCTTAATCTCATCTCAGTGAAGTGAAAGTCATTTAGTCATGTCTGACTCTTTGTGACCCCNTTCTCCTCACAGCCAGGGTAACCACTCTATTGACTGCTAACACCATTGATTTATTTGACCTCAAATGAGGATACTTTTAAGAGATCCGTGCTGAAGCTGAAGTTCTGATACTTTGGCCACTGGATGTGAAGAACTGACTCATTAGAAAAGACCCTGATGTTGGGAAAGATTGAAAGCAGGAGAAGAAAGAAGGGGATGACAAAGGATGAGATGGTTGGATGGCATCAGTGACTCAATGGATATGGGTTTGGGTAGACTCCAGGAGTTGGTGATGGACAGGGAGGCCTGGCATGCTGCGGTTCACGGGGTCACAAACAGTTGGACACCACTGAGCAACTGAACTGAACTAAACTGCACATCATCCACCCCAAGTTTCAGCTCCCTCTG